ACGAGAGGTGACACTGGCTCTCTGGCCTTATCTAAGGTCCTCGGACCATGATAGGCCAGGCCCTCCCATCTGTCTGGGCGTGGACACGGATCTCAGCGGTATGTATGTCCTGGATACAGCTGAGCGCGCCTTCGACTCTCTGAACTTTCCAACCACCGCCAACACGGAGGTGCCGAAAAGCTCAGAGGGCGAAACCAGCGAATCGAGGAGAAAGCCTTTCTCTTTCTTCCCGATGTCGGCCAGGTTCAACCACAAATGTCTCTCCGTGGCCAGTATCGTCGCCATCCCGGAGAGCTATATATATATATATATATACACACATTTTTTCATTTGCGGCGCAGCTCAGTAACCGCCTCAGGGGCCCCACCCCCTGGTCGAGATCCCCCAGCAGATTGGCCTGGTGTACCTGCAACACCGCCATGATGTGCAGGCTAGCACCGGCCTGACCCGCTGACGTGTATGCTCTGCCATTCAACTGGCAGGGTTTGAGCTCTCAGTGTCGATTGTTTTCCCATCGACGCATACCCACGCTCTCCTATCCTCTCAACATCAGCGAGACTAGCCTGCTGATGTTGGTGGATACAGGCAGAGTATGGGTTCTTCCATGTCCTCTCGATCTCAGTATGAGATCGGGAAGAAATGAAAGGCTCACCTGAGCTGGTGGTTCTATGACCGGGGAAAAACCGCTTTCATCGCGAGCGATTTCTCCCCCAACGAGCAGCCACGGCAGCTGCAGCCTGTCCGCGGCGCGTTCTATAATACCACCAGCTCAGCATACACGGGGCAGGGTAGCTGAGAAGATACAGGAAAATATCTTATTATTACCACCCTCATCAGCCATCTCCTGTTTGTCCGGGAGAGCGCTTGCTGCCGGACTAAGTTTTCCTTTTTTTTTTTTTAACTTCATCCAATTGCAGCTTCTCGTCAGCCGCCGCATCGTCTGAGAGGATTACACCCCTCTCAAGGCGATCGGCGAGCTTCATCTGTGACATCCAGACGCTGAACCCTCTTCTCTTGAGAAGAGGGACCGGCGCGATCACAATTTGTACAGGCAGTTCCCTCGAGAACTGCCTGTGCGCGTCTCCCTTCCCAGACAGAAAAATGCACAGTTCGCGTGTGTCACCCGGCTTCAGATATCTTGAGCACGGGTCTGCACACTTCTGAAAGCATTTCATAATTACCTGATTTTCAAAGCAGTTACAGACAAAACAGTCCCTGAAGACGATGAGATGATTTGTCATGTTTGCAAGGCGCCCTTATATACTTCCAGGTCGCACGTTAATCATTCACGCTAATGATTCACGGGCTGTCGCCGGTCAATGTGATTGACGTGATTTGATAGTGATTTCAGACACCTGTCACGCCATAGGCGTTCCCCTTCGAAAGGGAACCTGCAATTCAACTATTTCAGTTTCTAACTTTTTCATAGATCGTGTTATGTCCCTGGTAACATTGTATTGTTGACAAAGCATCATTATTTTAACCTTCCCAACATCCCACCACTGACACAGATCTTCAAACTCGTCTTTTCTCATCTTAAAATTGTCCCAAAAAAACATCTCTAAAATTCTTATAATTTAGCAAAGACGTGTTGAAATGCCAATATGCACTTGTGGCCATTATATTTGCTATAAATACTTGACATGTAACTAGACAGTGATCTGAAAAACCTACTGGAGCAATTACACATTTTTTTTTTTACAATATTAAGATGATGCTTATAACAATAAAACCTATCAATTAATAAAACCTATCAACCTAACATTTCCCCTTGCATGTGCCCATGTATATTGTCTGACATCATTATCAACCCCCCGCCATATGTCACATAAACCGTGGGTCTCAACCAGCTTGCATATCACACGAATTGAAGCAGCATGTGGTTCTACGTGATTTCGATCCAATACATAATTTTCTGTGCAATTAAAATCTCTCCACAAAAAACAAATAATCATCAGCATTACAATCCTGCAAAATACTATTAACATTGTTAAAAAAATAAACTCTTTCAGTCCCACTCGTTGGAGTGTATATATTCAACAAAAAATTTTTTTGAATCTTTCAAATTTTGCTTTTAACAGTATGAGTCTACCTGGTATTACATGTTTCAATTCATATGAAATAGGCAGGAAATGTTTTGCAAAAAGTACAGCCACCCCTCCTCTGGCTGAACTCATATGAGAAAGCACTACTTCCCCATCCCACTCCTTTTTCCAATCGGTTTCATTTAGACTATCACTGTGCGTTTCTGGAACCATCATAACATCCAAGCTCTTTTGTCTGAAGCAAAATGACTTATGCCGTTTCAAAACCATCCTCAGTTTTTGTTTTAGTTTCGATTTAGACACTTCAACCTGAACATTTCTTGAACAGTGAAATGCTCCTCACTGTCACCCCTCATCGTCGTTGTAACTGAATCTATGAATAATTTACGATCAGGGAAATATTCCTCAACCTGCACGTTTTTCATATTCTTTGTTTTCTGAAGGAATGATCTTATTTTTCCAAATGTGTACACACCTTGGTCTATATTTGCTAACTGTTGCCTCAACATCAGACTCCTCAACTGTGCTGCAATCAGTAGGCCTATCATCATTTTTATTAGCTGAATCAGCTCACCAGTGCTCTTATGCTTTGGGATTTCTTTACTCTTTTCCTTTTAGTAGAGGGAATTTTAAAAAGTGCTTCATCCCTCGCCATCTCACTGTCCAGACTCTCTTAAGCCTCAATAGATTCTGCAACAGCAGATGCATTCTCCTGTGATTCATCAGTTTCATTTTCTACATTGCCTGCACCTGTCATTGTGCCACGAAAGTGTTCCCCTACACTCCCCACAGCTTCCTCCTCCTCAGCAGTCTCACTTCTCCTACTTTCCACATGCATGCCTTCCTCAGCAGAAGCAGCATTGGTCCCAGCTTCAGAAATCCCACCCATCCTTTCATTATCTACAGTTTCAGCATCATTAACTTTCTCAGTACATGCACCTCTAACGTGTCCCTCTTTTCCACATCGGAAACACTTCATAATATCAGAGGTAACAAAAACCACATAAATCAAAACCATCAACCCTAAATTTGAAAGCCACATTCAATTCATCTGCATCTTTCTTCAAAACCATACAAACCTGACGTCTAAAACAAACGACATGCTTGAGTAGCGGTGATTTACAGCCAAACGGGATCTTTTTCATTTGGGACACTACTTTACCATGCCTTGAAGGCTCTGCTAGCAAGAGTTCATCTTTAATGAACTGGGGAATGTTGGACAGAATACGTTTTTTCGCCGGTTGAAGCAGCGGCATTACTGGAGTGAAGGTATCCTGTATAACAACGCCATTCTGAACAACACTATTAACTTTTTCAATAGTGTCCAGAAAGACAACAACAGCGCTGTTCATGCAAGAAGCTGATAATATGCTATCGCAACCAACAACTTCTCCTACAGCTAAAACACATTATTCACAGGCGCAAGTTTGATACCGTGTCTTCGCGACAACCGGTCCAAACTCACTCTTTCCGAAGACGCCATTGCCACCCAGCTAACACCGGATAGCGGCGAAATTCTTCCCACCCAAAAAGCTACCTAGATATTTTCCAGATATGCCCATCATGTCATATAGATTTACTGATTAACCAAGATTTAGACAGAATTGATTGGCATATTTTCTATATTGATGTTGCTAATAATACCACAGGTTTACTATAGTAGATAGTGGACAAAAGCAAACACAGTAATTACATTTATAACCCGTCCAAGATATGTGAACACGTGTGCATTAGACACATAAGTCTACAGGTCAGGCGTGTGTTTGTGCTGCGATATAAAGCGTATATATGTGCAGCTGTTACATCTGTAAATGAAGCATTAAATCTGCTCTGCAGAAAACATGACCTGATTGTGCTTTCAACAACTAAGAGCAACAATAAACCACAACGTCAAAAATAACCCAGAAAGAAGCTCTGAAACTGACAGCATCTCAGTCATAAAGAAATGAAATGAGAAGTTACTGATGTTTTGAAAAGTGATTATTTTGGATCTAGAAGGTGAGAAATCTGAATGTGAGTCTTACACCTCTGCAAGTGTGTTAACTCACATGTCAAAGCAAGAGGCTTTTACATTTAACACTCATTTGTTTACAGATTTACTCTCACTGGATTCAAACCTGCAGCCTGTTTGCTCATAGCCAAATCCTTTAACCACATTTCAGGATGTAGTTTCGTGTAGACGCCATATGGTGTCCAAAACAACAATGAACACTGTCTAATAATACATCAAGAGATCTGCTGTTCACTCCTGAGGGGCCTGAACTGGAAGACGGGACACAGGAAGAGCTTTACAGAAGATGACCATGTGACTAAAAACAAACAGCACAACAAAAGCTGGTGCTGATACTCCGTTCACCAACATCGACACAATACCAGACACTTGTGCTCTAACACAATTGATGCGTTTCATCAGATCTTGACCAAGCCATGACTGTAAACCGGTTTAACACAGAGAACGATTCTGAAACTTCTGATTGTGACTATTTCCGATATGAAATTAATTTCTGGCTCGAACATGTTTAGTCGCTTGCCTGATTGTGTCACTTTTACCTCAAGCTTGATGGAAGCGCGTGACATAATTACAAGATGTTGTAGCTCTAAAGATAAGAAGCGCATGTAAACCGACACGGTTGAATAATCTCACAAATGCTTGTAGCAGTCATTTTTTTCATGGACTTTTAGTTTGCTTCTCTTGGTTTTCTGTTGTCTCTGTTCCCGCTATCATTAGTTACTATGGTAATTGATGTGATCATCACAATGTAGTTTGTTATCTGTTTATATTGAAGTTCCTCATTTCCCTGCTTTGCAGAGTCGGTTATTATTTGTGTTTGAGCTTGGGCTAGACACGATGTTACGTTGCTATTGTCTCTTTGAATTACCTGTGTTTGTTTTGCTTACTAAATACTTTTGTTTTGGAAAGTCAGAATCTTCATCATCTTTGAGTGTAACACTTACATTGAGGCCTCTCTGGAATAGCGTCTGTCCCATGACGTTCGCTAGCATCCGGATCAGAGCGGCTCCCTGCGGACACACAGTAAACACACGTTCAATAAAGACTGCTTATTTACGCATGCATACAAAACAAAAATATACATCTTTGTCAGCGTTTTGAACAGCATATCTGACATGCCGTAGATTACCACAGAAAATAATTTAAAAAATGTTCAAAATGTACATGAATCCACTTATTATGGAAGTCAATGGGGCAAAATATTCTGTAGGGTTTAAACTCAGAAATGTGATATCTGAACAGGAAAGTTGTCAAAATCATAATTCTAGTGGTGTGACTGTTCAAGGAGGATGAACTTCTGGTTATGCAGAAAATGATTAACATTATTTAAAAACAGTTCAGTTATTATGGCACTGTTCAATTTCTAGCAGGTCTGGTTCATCTAAACAAGGACTCCATGACACTCGTCCTGCTGTTTTCTGCTGTTTTATGAGTCTGTATCTTTTTTGATTTTGAGTGGCTTTGACAGGCTCATTTGACAGCATCTAATTCCCATCCCTCCACAATCTGTGTGATGAGTGTCACTTCCTGTTAGCGCTGGGGACTCATGGGATGTTGTGGGATATCAGAGTCTATAGAGTGCGAGGAGGAAGTGATGAGGGACGGTCGGGTGTCAGTGTGACTGACAGAGTTCATAACCCAACAGAACCTGTGGGGAAACAGGGGGAGGGGCTTGAGGAAGAGCAAGAGCCAATCACAAACCGGCCATGAGCTGATTGACAGCTGGAGGGAGAGTAGACACAGAATCTGAAATCTTTAGGATGGAATATTCTGTCTGAACTCTGATAGAGGACAAAGATATTTCTGTCCTGCTCTTTGTGTCTTTAATGGCTTTCAGATGCTCAGATGAGAGGATATATTTGGGCGCTGGAGTTTTTTACAGTAAAGTGTGTTCCAGTGAGAAAGAGGTAATTAAATAGATGTTGTCTGGTCTGAGATGAAATGTTTATTGTGCCACTAAAGTCCCCAGAGCACACAAAAACTCTCAGTGTAACAGTTTCTGTCCTCGACTTACTAAAAAACAAGCTTTTAATTAAACTGTTTTTCTTGCGTATGTGAAGAGGCTTATAACAGCGTGACTTCATTTACAATTCACAAAGATAAACTGAGATTTCTTTAGCTGGGAGAAAAATAACAAGCAAACTGAGGTGTTTACTGGACTCAATAAAAGATAAAGTCTATTGGTGAAGTCCACGCATAAATAAATGACTGATTTAGACCAACGATACTGTTGTTTTAACAAAAGTCATTGTTCCACTTCTACTGTCTTGCCGAATAATTTTTTTTTGTAAATTCACTTCATGTTGTATTTTGAATTCAGTTCAGCTCAATATTAAAGGTTTATAATCATGTCCATCATGCAGATGAAGCCTGTAGGAGTTTATGAGAGATTCTCTTGCCTTCTTATATGCGATCCAGTCAAACACTCTGTCGATGTCTGTGGCTTCAAACACTTCCTGAGAGATCGGATGAGAACTGGCCAAACCGTCCAATAACATCACCTCATGAAGAACATCAGTCAGAAACCTCTGCTTCTCCTGTGGATGAGAGACTTTATTCATTTTTTACAGTATCAAACACATAAACATGTCTCATAAAAGCTTCTGTTTTATTTTCAAAAGTATACATAATTTTGAGCTGCTCTATAAATGATATTAGAAGATGGTTGTGAGAAAATCCAGCTCTCTATATCTCAAGACTGAAGACTTTATTCCTGCAGAAGTTTCTATAATTCATTCCGATGAACCTTCACTGTCGCCACACGAGCGCCAACACGACACACTGCTGCTTGAGCTACGATACAGTCAGTGTGTGTGTGTGTGTGTGTGTGTGTGTGTGTTGTGCAGGGATCTTGCTGTCTCTCTACTCTGATCAAATGTCTCCCTGTAGGATTCACTATAAAGAGAGGTAGAAGTTTTGGGTCAGATGAAAAAGACCCTCATCATTCACTGAGTCTCTGTCAGCAGAGAGTCACGATCTCAAATGCAGTGAGTTGTTCAGCAGCACTTTGAGGAAGATGTTATTCTGATCCAAGGTTATTTCCATTTTTTTTTAAAGAAGTCTAATTTTGAACTGCTTAAAAAATAACATAATGAGAACTTACACCACAATGAGGCAATTAAACCTTAAAAAAATGTCATGGTGTACACAAATACAACATATTATATTAGAATACCAATGGCTAATGTTCATATTAAATGTTTGAATAAACTAATAATCACTTGCTCTATTTTTGTAGATCAACTTCTACTTGCAAAAGATGTTCAGCTAAACTAAACACAGCATGAATGTAAAACCACAAACATTTCAGTAAAATGTGACACTATTTTCCTGTTACTCATTAAAAGTGGTGGTTTGCCAGTTACCGTACATTAAAATGGATGAAATATGAATCACATGAATTATATATGAAAGCATTACACTGCAGGTTCATATTCTAAACATCTTCATAATGGGTCCTCTGGCAAAATGTCTGCACTGACTGACCGAATTCAAAGCTTTTTACTTTTAATAAAACGATTTTATTATTATTATGTTCACATCTATGTTTTTATTAAATGTGAGTGACTAAGAGAAAGTCACCAAACTAGCTGTTATAAACACATCTTGTTTTGATACTCTGAATGTTTTATTACACCTTTATTCGTTTTCATTATGAATAACTCTTGCCCATTAAAGCTTTTGGCAGCTTGATTAAAAATCATGTTGAAGACATTAATCCAAGAAAGCAAGATATTTGAATCAAGGGATTTGAGCTTCAACAAACAACGTAAATAAGTCCAGAAACAAATGATCATCAAAACCCTTCATAGTTTTATGTCAAAATAATGAGGCATATTCTATTAACCCAGTGATTCCTGGTTTCATGTAATGTGTTCAAACCACAATCACAATCTCATATTCTGATGTTCTGCTAAAAGCAATTAATGAAATGACACGAGACATACAGACAATCAATACAAATCAATACAGAGAATATTTATCTGAGCACCAAACTAAGGTTGATGTGTGATTGTTGGGTGACTTTTTATCATATTTGAAGATATTATAAGTCTATCTTGAATGGCTTTCATAATTCTTTCTTTTTGAGCAGCTAATGAAGGGTGAAATTTCCTACAATAGAATTACATCTGAGGTATAATTATCTTAAGATATGCGTGTCATAAAAACTGAAACATGCTTTGCTTAATGGACTGCTGTAATAATCTATCCTTCATTTTTAACTTCAGAGAGAAGATCTTAGAGGAAGTGCGACTTTTTGAAATCAGTGTCCTAATTTCTCAGGCTATTTATATCATCACTTAAGTGGTCTTGTAGAAGAGAACAGCATGTGTTTCATGTCTTTACTTTCAGTATTTCCTGATGGACAGTCACTTTAAAGTCCAGACTAATATAAGCTTCGCAGGTCAATGTAAATACTGCATATAGACATAATTAATATATGCAAATGGCCCTTCATGTTAATTCCCAACATACATTATGGTGAATGTGAATACACAGAAACAGAGAAAGAGAAACCGACAGACAGAGAGAGAACAGCTGGTGATGTGGAGCTAATTTTATGTGAGTCACGTAGTGGGCAATATAAAATGAGTGCAATGAGAAGAGCTTCCATCTGGCCCATATGTGCTCTCAACAAGGTGTTTACGTCCAATGATACTTCATTTAGATGCTGCTTATTAACGTCTCAACATCATCACCTGAAGTTTCTCACTGAACAACCACTTTAAGGCCAGAGATCAACAGTGATGCCAGGCATTCAGGTCAGCAGCTTTGGAGCAATGCATGATGGGTAACTAAACCTCGCTGAGAGTTTCTCTAGCATGACGGATGTGAGAAAGAGGAGGAAAAGCCAACAGTCCAGTAGTTGTGAGCAGGTTAAGGGACCGTTTGTTTTAATGACCTATTAAGGACTCTTGTCAAATCCATTCACACATTTCTCAGTGCATTTGTGAGTTTTCAGTTCTGGTTTAGACTCTGAAATGTGTAATATTATCCAAATTATGGTAGGGAAAATCTTACAGTCATCCTATCAAGACCAGTGAAGTGTTTCCATCAAAACCTATCGGATGAGAAAGAAGCAATTGCTCCCTGAGATGATTTTCCCTAAATGATCTTTCTGCTTGGCTGATGCTCCATAACCAAGGTTGAGCAGAGAGGTATGAAATACTGGGACAGATGGGATGGGAAGGTTGTTATGTCAATGAAAATTAGTGTGTGAGCAGAAAGCACACAAGTATTAAACAAGGGTGCTACTGTATACTGACATATATCTTACTCAAATTAGATAAATATATTCAAATTTTAAATAAAAAACTAATCTAATAAACTTTTGTTATTAAATGTCAACAGGAGGTAAATGTATTGCTTTAGACTGCCTTCAGCACTTACTCTTAGCATATACCACTCTTAGTGCACACTATGTCAAGTCTAAGACATGTCAGGTCTTGTGATGAACACACAATAATCTTCACACTAGCTCATAATAAAACTGAACACAGTCAGTGAATCATAATGAGCAGAAGATCCAAACATATTTGATCAGAACGACTGCTAATTCACAGTAAAGAATGAGCTGACAGGGAACTTTCTCAGAAATTCCACAACGTTCTGGCAATTTTCTTTCAAAGTTATGAACAAACATTCTTCCAGTAAGGTTAATAGAACGCTTTTATGTTATCTGGTCTTTACAGTAATAATGTTCTCAAAACGTTATCGCAAAACGTTATATACTTTGTTCATGCAGTTCAAGTGCATCACAATAGCAGAGACCACGGGTCATAGATACATGATCATTGGTCATAGACACACCTAAAATATAATAATATTCAGATCCTGAATAAAAGGGCCTTCAGAAGAACTGCAAGACTGCATCATTCTTCAAAAAGAAGGGGTTTTTTAGGGGACGAAGGAGAATGTCCTGTTCGTGACTCGAGAAATTCTCATAAAAGATTAATAATGTTCAGTTGAAGAAGTCTTTGAAGGTGTTTGACTTCCTCCTGGTGTTCACAAACACTCCTGGATTTATTTATCATCCTATAATACAGGAATATCATGATATGATTGTGTGTTTGGACACACCTGGTCTGGTAAAATAGCCTCATAATTCTTGGCTGTTATACAACAATTCAGAGCATCACTGAACATATTGACTCCTGTGAGACGGTGAGCATTGTCAACTGAAGCCAGGCTTTGTCTTTCCCTGAACGTGAACCCATCCGGATGGGGGAAATGGATGTGGACGAATCATTAGACCATGAAACCTTTTTTACATTGCACTTTATTTAAAGGAGTTTGGATTTGCTCTAGTTTATGTATGCCGGCCTTAAAATTCCAGTGTTTCTTCAATGGCAGCTTTGGCACAAATTCCAGCTCTGTGAAGCTCCACAGTAAAGTAGCAGGGTTTGCGCAGACTGACACAGAGGTGTGGCACTAATGTAGTTTGTCTTTTCCCACTGAATAATTTTAGCAAATTTTAAAATAACTAGCACAAGTAACAATGTTTAAACGTGTTGTTCAGAATGCATTATGATCAGAAGCTCACCAATCTGTCTGTGGCACTGTAATGTTATTTCACAACTCTCTTCTGATAATTGATTGAACATCTGTAAGAGACTACATATAGACTAAAGTTTCATCAAAACAGCAAAATATGATGGCATAATCACCGGTTGCTGTGGCAATGCAGCAGGACTGAAAAATAGAGACATGATAATAGAGCTCAACACCATTAAAAATATGATTCTTTCTGCACATGAAGTCAAACTCAAACTGCGCTCATAATAACCATTGAAACAGTTGGAACAATTTGTTCTTTACAAGCTCATAATGAACCAGTCCATGCATGCCTCCATTTGGCCTGCTAATTCACTACTGACTGTAAGATCGAATGCACTCATTAGCTTATTGTAAAACATTGTCCTTTGAGCTACCCAAAGAGAAACTTTGGGACTAAAATACAAAATTAAATAGTATTATTTGTTTGTTTGCGTTTCAATTTTAGTAAATCCTAATTTACTCTAATTTATTTGTACTTTTTTAAAGAATTTATTTTTTGGCTTTTTCCCATTTCTATTCAGAAATGTTAAAGAGAGGACAATAAATGATAGAAGACAACTAGAATTGAGCACCATGGTTCAATCTGTTGAAGAAAAATGCATTTACTGCTAATCTACAACTTCAACAATTATAAAAGAATTTAATTAAATACCAGCTGAGGATAGTGACAATATATGACATCTCTCTCTGACATCTTCAATGAGAACAAATACTAGCTTTTTAGAGTGATGATACTGGTCATGCTGAGTGACACTGACCAGGCAGCAGTGATACAATTACATTCAGACGGTTGACTGACCCAACACTGAGAAATCACTGGACAGAGCAACTCAACCCACAGAGAGACCAAAAAAAGAGAGAATCTGTACCTGCTCAGAAATAGCCAAACAACTGATCTTTTACTTGATATGAAACAGATTAACACTAGAACTACCGGAGTTCTAACTACTATAATGGCCATAGCAGTCATTATGACCGT